TCCCCACAAAACCTCATGTGCTCATATAGTCAGAGCTTCTGAAAGTGATTGGACTGTGGGGTGATGTAGCTAACTTTCTGCTGAAAGCATTTGGGTGGAAGTGGTAGATTACTTGGGGCATTACCTGGGAGGGTATATTTCCCTCCCCTGCTCCATACATCTCTCTCTGCTTCCTCAATTCTGTGACAGGCACAGCTTGTCTCTCGCTACACCCCTCTGCCATGTCATCCCACCTTGGAGCCAGCTAACTGTGGACTACAATTGTGAGCCAAAATAAACACCGCTGAAATTACGGTATTGGGTACTGTGTCCCAGTGGTGAAAAAGTGACTAAGACAGTGTAGAGAGAAACTGAAACTGGAACTGATCACACACATAGTGGTGAGGCAAGCCCAGTCCAAGAATAAAGAATGTCCGAAGCAAGCTATGTGAACAAGCTGCTTCAGTCCAGAGAATACCAAGCCTTGAGACTATCCAAGCAATGGGTTGCCAGGCGAAGGGGTGTCATGTGACATCAATCTGCCAAATGTATAAATAAAGAAACTACAGTGGTTGACCATCTCCTTATCTCCCAGCAAGAGAGATGGCTCCACCTGACCTCAGCTTTCTGTCTCATTTCTTTACTTCTCCATCCTCTCAATGTCTTAACCTCCAGGAACTTCAAGAGATTCACTGAACACAGCAAGACAGATGCCCTCTTCCATTTTCATTCTTTCCAGGTAAACATCACAAGCTAGTGCTCCACTTTGGAAATTCAATGTAAGTGTTGACATTCCTGTGTGCTCCCTGACAGTGAGGTGGATTCAAAGTAACAGAACTTAACACACTATGGTGGGTCTCCAGGGGCCATAATGGAGGGACCATAGGAGACGTGGGTTAGTCATAGAGAAAATGAGCATCTTTTACAAATTAATAAGTCATAGTAAATCACTCCTCAGCATAAATTCTTCAAAGCTTTTTGGTGCTCTTGGTGTTAAGTCCAGAACTCTTGTAGAGCTATCAAGGTCACCCATGGCCTACATGCCTATTTTTTCAGCCACATGCAAGTGCAGGACTCCTTTCCTTGGGAAAGACACAGGAAGGAGAAGGAAGAGGCAGGATAAGATCAAACTGTGCTATATGTATGTCTGAAAATATCACAATGAAACCTGTTATTCTGTACAATTAATATGCACTAGAATAAAAAGACCCCCTTCCTCAAGTCATTGCTCCAGCCATACTGGCCTTTTGTTGCTCTTCAGATGTCACGCTTTTGCTGAGGGGTTTTGTGCCAACGGGTCTCGGTCTGGAATGATTGTCTTCCTCTACCCTCTCCCAGCCAACCTGGATACCTTCTTCCCTGCCCCTCAACTTCGGCTGATGCCATGATAGTGTCCTCTGTTGATCCTTTCTGTGTGTTCATTATTCTCCAGCAGCTGGTTTGCTGTAGCTTTCCCATTAGGCCATAAGCACCTTGCAGGCCAGCACCAAGATGGTTTCGTTCACTCCAGAATTAAATGGGGTCCCATTCACTCCAGATACCACTGCTGCCTAGCTTCAAGAAGGATGCTCTCAGTCTTCTAAAAAATGCCTGTTAAATGATTAAATGTATCTGTTCTTGTAAATCTAATTCCCTGAGCCAGCTGGGTGGTGCTACCATAAACATGAGAACCCAATGGCCTCTTCCTGCTTTGTCTCCTCTAGATCCAGCTGGGAAGCAGGAGGTGTGAAGGGCAGGCATTATCGATGGGGATCCTGGGTGAGGAATCTCAGCCAGGGAGTGAGGCCAAGACTCTCACTGTGAAATAGGAATATTTTCAAGGGAAGTGACCTTCTGCTGGAACTCCTGAGCTCCAAGGTGGGCAATAACTTTGAATTGTTATGAGTGTGAGGAATTTGCCTGTGGAAAAAACAATCTCCATAGCATTGTTACTTGTCATTAAATTTCAACTGAAATCCTGACTTAGCTAAACAGTCCATACTGCGCCATCTCTGTGACATTATCGTATAGTACAACCCACAGCAATAGCTGCAGATTCAAGGAGGGACAGGACCTTGGTGTTTTCAAGAAAGAACCAACAGAACCCTAGGAAATCTAGAGCCCCCCACAATGCTGACCTAGGGGAACACTTTAGCTGGCCTCAATGGAGGATGAGCTGAAGTATCTCGATGGGTTTAGTTCTCAGGATTTGATATCATTTACTCAGTCTTTTCTACATCATTCATTCACTTAATTCCCATTTGAATACCTACAATATACTATGCTCAGGGGTCAATAATCAAAATAAACGGTTCTATCCCAAAAGGCTTCTTGGCTACTGAAAAGTCATAGCAATATCCTACAGAAATGATAATATATTTACAACTTCCAAATTCTTCTTGGGAAAAGAGCTAGGATCCATCCAGCTGCTGTGAAAATGGGTACCCTGAAGAATCAGGTGCAACACCAAAATACCAACTGGACTTTTTTGGCCCCCTTGGCACCTACTATAGTTCAAGGATTCTGTTTCCTGTGCACTTCATATTTTGATGCTGTGTTGGATTGCCCTGTAGTACTCAAATTGGCAAACATAAATAATAAAAAGTCAAAATTCCACTAATTATGCTATATTTGTTATCTTTTTTTTTCTAAGTACCTCACCTAAAAATTTGGTGTTCTTAAAATTCTCATAGTTCTTACCAATGATCAAATGCTGTTTAAAGAAATGGTTTCCAGAACAGCATTTCACATCAACTCTCTGTTCAAAGAGTATGATCTTGGCATGGGAGTATATGCTTATAATCTCAGTTATTTGGGAGGCTGAGGCAAGAGGAGCACAAGTTTATTGACAACCTGGGTAGTTTAGAAGATCTTGTCTCAAAAATAAAATTTAAAAGTCTAGGGATGTAGCTCAGTGCCAGAGTGTTTGCCTTACGTGTTAAAAGCCATGGGTTTAGCCCCACTACTACAAACAAACAAACAAACAAACAACTATAAACTTAGTACTTACATTTCCAAGAATTTATACATAAGATTTCAACTTATCCTCTACAACATGAGGCTTTTTTTATTTAATTTACCTAAAGTTAAATTCCAGGTACATTAGTGATACTGATATTTTAAAGATAAATCTAAGAAGAATTATTGTGTTTTCACAATCCTATCCATATGCCCTTAATGCTTATGGCACAGATAAGTGTATGTTTTAAGGAGCACCCAAATTATAGAAGTGGCACAGGACATTTTGAGAAAAATGCAATTTTATTTCTCTTGGCATGAGCCTAGGAAGATGTGGGGCTCTTTATAGCTTTTAGCTGCAATTCTATCCCCAAATCCAGACCAGTATCAAAGATAAATTGAACAGTACTGAATTTGATCTCAGTTTGAGCACATGTATCAATCTCTACCTCTATCCACCTATATTTACTCTTTCACTTAAATGAGCCCCAAATTCTTTGTGTGTTCAAGTCTACAAGTTAGCCCATGTGTCAAGTGCAAACAGAAGATATGTAATTAATTCACTCTCGCAAAACTAAAAGGATAAGAAGTAAGCAGTACACAAGTGTAAGTCACTCTGTTTATTCATAATGGATCATGCTTTTCTTCCCACAGATACAAAACACGGTTTGAAGACTCACATTTTAACGACCCCTTTCCTCTGACTCTCTGTCCATGAATCAAGGTCCAGACCATCCCAAATGGTGATTTAAAAATTTCCCTGAGATCACCATGGGTATATATATTGGGCCACAGATCATCTCACCCTACCAAAAATCAGGAGAAAGCATAGGCCAGTGATGGTCCTTTTGCTGAAGAAAAAAAGCAAAGTGTATGTAGAGTTCCTGAGCAAAAAATGGTGCAGAGTCAGTTGGGCCACTAATTAAAATCTATCTTCCTATGAAACATTATCACTTCTAAATCCCCGAACATTCTGGAAGGCAAATTCATCTTGTTGCATAGAAAGACACTTTATCACAGTGGTGTGCACAATGCATCTTTCCTTATGCTAATTGCCACAGCCATCTGGAAACCTTAATTTCCAGTAAAATGCAGAGCTACAGGTACAGGCAGCCTTTCTCTAAGGGCATATGAGAGGGAGAAAATTCCAGATATGGATGATGAGGAAATAATGGTCATCATATTATGTGCTCAGTCAAGACTTTAAAACTTGTCAAAATAGCCGGATATCACAACAGGTACTGAAGGAGTAGGGAAAATACTGAATGAGCCTCACAAATCCCAGTCTAGTCAAGTGAATAAAGCAGAAAGCAAATCAGCAGGTCTCCAATTTGAGGCCCCTAACATTAGCCCTGTACTGCCCCTCTGGGCTGCAAGAAAGCACATTTTCGGAGGAAGCCAGTTTACCAGGAATGGTCACTCTTACAAGTTGTTGTCATTCCTGCACCCACCTGTCACCCTGAAATGGCACAATGGAATGCTTGTGTTTTCTACTGAGGGCTTCCCTTTGAAAAAGAAGCAAAGGTTGCCTTAATTTGCTTCTTCTTCAATAGTGGAAGGAGACAGCTGATGCTGCACACGGTGACTGGGAAAAGAAGGAGGCAACTGAACCAGGCATCAGGCACCAGGCAGCCAGGCTTTGGATACATTCTGCAGTGTGTGCAGGCCTCTGGAGATATAAGTGTGAAAGGAGGGCTGAGCTTCAGTGGACTGTGGCACTTACAGAACTGTCATTCCATGGATGCACGGGTCCTAATTTTCTTTCTTAGGTTTTTTGTTTTTGTATCTGTGTGTGTGTGGACTGGGAATTGAGCCCATGGCTTTTGCACTGAGCTATATTCCCAGCACTCTTTTTGTATTTCATTTTCAGATAGGGTCTCACTAAGTTGCTAAGTTTCCTATGTTGGTCTCAAACTTATAACTCTCTTCCTTCAGCCTTCCAGAATCCTGGAATTACAGGCATGAAGCACTACACCCATCTATCTGTCTCAGCTTTTCTTGACATAGTTCTGACAGGCTTTCACCAACTCATTCAGGAAGTTCGGAATCCCACTCTGGAAAACAAAAAGAAACTGTCATTTTTATATCCTCCTAGTGATCACTCCTGTCATTTTTATATCCTCCTAGTGATCACTGATTCTTTGGGGTGAGCAACAGGGACGGAAAGATGGCTTTCAGCACAATAAAACACAGTAGGGACCTTGCACAGATTTCAACAGGATGCTGTCACAAATAATAATGAAAGACAACATTCAAGGCACAGGTAAGTCATGACGTCAGAAGATGCTGCTGCAACGAGCTGCCTTCCATGTCGGCTTCCACTAATAAAACACAGAGAACTTTCTGAGATTTTATTTCTTCAAGTGAAAGGAAACACAGGAAATGTGATCAGGATAAGTTGATGGAACTTCCAAAGGAGCAATAGAAAGGACTTGCTCTTCAGGATTAGAAAAAGTAAGGATTTGTGGTCAGAGTGAAGGATGCATTACTATTTAATAGTGTTGATCCAACCGCAAGACTTTTCATAAAATACTTCTCTATGGAGTAGAAAACTTGCATGTCTGCTTTTCTTAAAAAGGGAGTGATTCACGGCTTCCATAAATAAAATAGCAATCAGTAGCAGAGCTAGGATTCAAAATCACATCTCTACAACCTTAAAATTGGTGAGCATTTTTACTCTCCCATGAACATGTACTAAATAGGGTGAATGGTCCCCACAATGTCAGGGTCCTAGATGGTCTCCAGTAACCCAGGCCACCCTTGCAGTTTCTTTCCCTTACAGAGAAAAGTAAAGGTGGGGACAACAACAAAACTAGAGGCTTCCATCGGGCTTGAGCACATCTGGTTGTCTCAAAGTCTGGCTGTCCCCCTTAGCCAGGTCTGTCTTCCCCTTTTTAAAGCACACACTGGGTCCAAAAGCACGATTACTCCTGCAGAGAGCAGTATATTATCCAAATGTGCCACAGCGTGACCCTGGCCAGGTCTGGGGCCAGCAGCACGAAAGGGCTGCTATTTCAACTTATTAATTCTCTGTCTTTTGTCCCGTCTCTATCCCGGGTGTTGGCAACTCCAACCCTAACCAGAGTCACTCAACCAAGCTCTTCATAAAGGAACCTCACTCTGCCTGGGACAATGTATCTCTTCAGCCTGACAGCCTCCAGGCTACCTCAACATTTTTCAAACACCAATCCTCCCCCTGCACCCCCGCCAGCCCCTGGGATCTCACCTTGGCCACCCAGTTAATGAGCCAGGACGGAATTTGGCCACCCGGGTTATCGAAGTGATACATGAAAACTAGAGGAGGAAA